TACATTGGAGGTGACATGGATTCTCATGTTCCTTTATGCCCACAAGGTACGTTTCCCAAATCGAACCGAGAAATCACAAGGCAGTTTCCAAGTGAATACCACCAGACTAAGAACACTCGTCAGTCGTCTCAAGGAAGATTAAAGGACTCGAGGAGAATTACAAAAAATGAGCCTCGCACGAAAATGAGGAATCTAAATCTTTGATCAAAAGTATATTTTGAGTAACAGAGTCTAACTACAAATTAAGTAGAATGTAAATCAAATTTCAAAAAGAAGAGAGATCATTCAATCTTTGAAAACCTAATTAATTTGATTCGGTCCAAACCACCGAATCGAAACAATCAATTTAAAATCTGAAATATATTTTAGTATCTTTGAAACTGATTATTTCTATTAAACTAAATTTAAAACCGAACCGGAAAAGAAAACACACCAATGTAAAGTTCTAGTAGCTTTTTGTTTGAAAGTAGAAAATATATTGATCCAAACGAAAATCAAAACCGTGCCAAACCGTCAAATATTAAATTATATATTTTTGAATATTATTGATTTATACACTAAAAATATGAAAAAAACTTAAAACCAAAAACCGAACCAAGCTCTGGAGGGAAACACTACACCAAATCAAACCAACACTATATCTAGCTTCTGCAGCTATGTTTCTCCTCTTAAGCTATATGAGAAATGTTGATGTTATTTTGGCTAAACACATCTTCGGATTTGTGAAGTAGTTCCATAAATTGCTAACATTGAACGTGAGAGATTCCGTTGATCCTCCACTAAATTGCCCAAAATTTTATCATTACAGCTTGGTTCATAGAATGTGAAAGTTGATGCAAACAATTTTTTTTTTTTTTGATGTAAACAATTATTATAAGCAAATGACTTGTAATGGCTCAGCAGACAGTAACTAGCAATGACATTAGCTTTAAGATAACTAAAAGAGGAGGTTTTTGGTAATAAATACCAAATGCTGACTTAAAACAGCCTAATCATGTATAAACACTGATGAATTGCATGTGAAACGCAATGGCTTTTGTTTGGTTTCTTGCATATTTTACAAAGGAAAAGCTTTTTAATACTCATTCTTCGTTGGTATCGGCATCAGAGTTCCCATATACAGTAGCAAAGTAGTAGCTCACAGTCTTAGGTGTTACCCCAGGGAATCTGTAGGAGCTATCCGGTTGCAAATCGATCTTAACGAATGGCCATTGCATTGCCTGTGCGGCTGCACACTCTTCCCACCCGTCTCCAATCGCACAGAATCTAAATTTTGGATGGTGGAAACGCTCCTTGATCCATTTGAAACATTGGAGCTTCCCCACATCTATTGAACTGTACACTGAGGGAAGGCCACATAGAAATGCAAATGAATGGAAGAGTTTGCGGAAGTAACTATGTGAAATCTGAAGCTAAGCTATCCCATTGAAGATGGTGTCTCCGAGCTTACCATTTTCATGTCTTAGGAATGTATCTAGCCGGAAAAGCAGGCATTTCACAAGGCTCGGTATGAGTGCCCCAGAAGTCACTAGAATATGTATATCCTTAGAGCTTCGATCGGTTGCACTTGTTCCATCACCAGACTCTTCTTTCACACATGAACACTGCTCCAAGAAAGCCCTTGCTGCAATTGGAGACAAAACCATACTGAGCACTAGAAATGATTAAAGAAAACAACCACAAGAAGTAGACAATTCTATATTTACCAGAAGAGAGCCACCGGTCTGTGTATTCATCAGTTACATTATACAACTCATCCAATATACTCATCGTTTCACTGTCAATGAAAGGACGTAAACCCTGCAATGATAAAGAGAGGATATTTGTACAGGAGTCACATATAATCAGTAAAAAGTAACATATGAAAATGTATCAGTACCTTTTCGTATTTGCGCGCAACGGCGCGATGCCTATAAGCGAGTTTCCTCTTGTTCAAGTCATCGGTAGGAGTACTAAAATCGTCTTTTTTGAAGTCATACCGAGAAAGATCCTGTCCATCATCGTATTGTCTCAAGGAATCAAGAAAAGGCTCATTGCAATCCTCAATCTGCAAAAACACAAAGACTAATGTTATGCAAGTGACAGAGTTTACGATTCGGTTGTGAAATTTTGGTTGAAAACAATATAATAGAGACTTACTTGCTCGTAGAAGAAACAATCGTCAGAGATCTTAAGTATGTGTTTCTCCCACATCTTACCAATCTCTACACCTCTTTGAACATCTTTAGAGCCATTAAAAGACTCAGCATAAGTCCCATTTAACAAAGATCTAAGCAAGATAAGAGTCTCGTCCATGTCCCATATATATACATTCACTGGTCCACCATCAGAAACCAAAGTTCCAAGCTTTTGTGATGTATCATCATTCATAATCCCCCTTCTCCCCTCTGACTATAAGAAGTTCAAAACCAGGAGATACGACCAAAATTCAGAATCGAGGAGAAGAACTGATTCACAGTACATACATTGACTATTACTTCTGGGTTAATAGTAGTTCATTGATATAACAACCAGGACCATGTAAATTGAAAGAAATTTCACGGCGAGAATCAAAAACCGATAAAATTCCCAAAAGAGCAAACTTTTTGACAAACCCATGACAAATTTTCACTATACAAAACCTAAGAGACTTCGATTAACGATTCTAGGTTAAACCGCGAGAGATTACAATACCTGTCGATACGATGAGCAAGATCCAGCTCCGGAGCTAAGTGACGAACCGAAGACGATGAATGTGTATGCTTTCACGTTTAAAGAGACAAGAAACGGCGTCGTTTAATATAATGTAGCTCCTGGCCCAATTAAAGGCCCATTTTGTTCAACACTCACACACACCACCACCTCCTGAAACTGAACAG